ATAAGCTCCATTAATTGAGTCTATAACCAAGATGACGGTGAAGTAATGGATAGCAAGGATGAAGAATTCTAAGAGAAGTATCATCCCACATATACTCGATTAGTCACTTACCCCTAATAGTGGTGCCAACACGTAATCTATATTTAAATGATCAACAAGTTTTTGAAAACACGTGCAAGGCTAATGATGCATTGATGTCCCATTACTATATAGATCCCCACTCTTGCTCATCACATGTCTAGGCTTAGAACCCTAAATTTGGCCCAAAAGATTTCAACCTAAGCTTTGATACCACAAAATTTGTCACACCCCCAACCCATAGGTCTAGGCATAACAAATGCCACACATCCATAGGGTAACCCCATAAATGTGTAAGGCCATCTACCTGCATATCAATATAGTCTCCAATAAAGTTTTAATGTAGCCTTACAACTTTAAAATAAACAATTCTATTAACAAATCTTAATAGCCTCCAAAAAACAAGATCAAATCTCTTAACCAAAACATAAAGTGATTAACATCTTATTCCATAAAATCAAATAAGCTTCCAATTGAGCTATTGTTAAATTCCTGCCAATTTATTCTAACAATCTCACAATTCCCATAAAAAACCTGATGCTCATACTTCTTCACCTGAAATGAGATGAAATTTTGAAAATATGAGTTTAAGAACTTCGTAAGTAGTATACCCATTCATCTCAACCAAACATAAAAATTCAAAATTGAATTTTTTATGGAAAATGAAAAAAAAAAATACAATTCTTTCCTCTAAACTAGAATATTTCATTTTTCGTCCCTTATAGCTGTGTAACAATCCACAATCCATGATCAATGATACTCAATCATCAATCCACAATACATGATCCACAATCCACAATCCACAATCCACAATCCACAATACACGATCCATAATCCATGATCCACAATTCACAATCCACAATCCATAGATCCCGGGTCTATTATAATATGAACAACTCAACTCTCACAAGGGTAAACCATACAGCCAGGACAAATAAAAAAAATCGTTCCAAAAATAACCATTTCAATAATATAGGAAAAAAACAAATTAAAATTAGCCACATCTACGTGGCCACAATTTCATCTCAAACTTAAATAAAAATATTATGTTTGGTCCACAAATCATCTCATTTCATCATTAAAAATATTTAATAAAAAGTCATTCTCTCAAAAATAAATAAATAAATAGATGAATAAATCAAAACTGGATAAACCCATTGAAATCTATCAATTTACTTTAAACACACTGGAGGATATAACTACTTACCTCAATAACTATCTTTTAATTGCAATTCCATGCAACTACTCAAAACCTAAAGAAAAATAGCAAATAAATATAATTCAATCACTAAATAGAATTTAACTAGTGCTATTTAAACATTACAGGAACTAATCCCAATTTCTCATGTCATTCATGTCCTACTTTCTCACTCAGTTTAGTATTTGCATCCACCATCACAATTGTAATATCCCAAATTTTTGAAAATTTTATCATTTAAGTTAGGGACTTATTTTGGGGAAAATATTGTTTGGAGTCTAATAGTGAATATTTCGAAACTTGAGGGATTTAAAAGAGTAAAAATTTGGAAAATGGGGATAAGGATGGGCTGATTTTTTTTCTTATTTCTTTCTCATCAGCGGCGTGTTTCTGCTCCTCTTCTTCTTCTCCCTGTAGCTGAACAAGAGCTCCAGCCCCCGACAGCACCTCCCTTTGAGAGATCGGTAAGAGAGCTTGATTTTCCTTTCTTTTCTTGTTCAAGAACAAGATTTAGGAGCTTGAAATCTTTCCCCTTTGCAAAAAATCCCAGATCTACTCTGCTCCTTCCTCCCTTTCGTCCGCTGCTCTTGGTGTGGGTGTGAGTTTTTCGGTTTTGGTAAGGGGAAACAGCCATTAATTCCTCTTTTCTTCCTTGAATTGGCTTGGGTTTACTCTAATTTCTGTTGGTTTCTCCAATTTTGGTAGATCCCCTGAATTTCTCCTTCATTCCCGCCGGTCTTCCCCCAAACTGCAGCTTCGGTTTTGCTTGCTAAAATTCTGGTATGTGACAGCTCCATCTAAGTCCAAAATTACCCATTAGTTGCTAAAATTGTCCGTTAATTTGCTGCCTTTGTGCTGTTCGAATTTTGTTGAAATAGGGGGATGAATTCCGGTAGCATTAGAACAAATTTAAGCATTAATTCAAGTGGAATTTATGTGATTAAGTGTTAATTGACTGCTATGAGATTTTGGAGAGAAATCCCGTGAAATTAGCTATTGTTTTGCCAAGTTATGGAAGTTGTAGTTACTGTTCACGGGTACTGTTCACGTACTAATGGGCAACAATAAGAGGGTTTAAATGTGTAGTTATATTGAGAATAAAATTGAAATGTCTGGTTATATGGTTATTAATTCAAGAATATGGTTAGGTTCTTGATTGTTCTGTCACCCCAACTATTAGAGTGAATTTTTTGTGTTATGTGACTGAGGTAAGTAAATTATGGTAACGCACATTTTAACTTGTTTTTGAAGTGGTGTCAAGACTAAACCCGTTTTACAGAAGTATGATCGATTTGAAATGAAATTTATTATTCTTTTTATTGATTTGAGCATGCCTTCTTGGAGTTTACTTAACTGCCCTGATGATCTGGAAATTATTTGTGAATTATGATTTTTATGTTAACTTCTCCCTGTTTTGTCTCCGATATGGTCATGTTATTCGTGTACCTGTTAGTGGGAGTAGTGAAAGGTTTATAAACGCTAGCACATGTCGACATGTTACTGATAGAACCGGTTCATTTATGTTATACTGTTATCCTGCTAGTGGGATTATACACTAGTAAATCGTGTGCCTTGTCAGTGGGCGATTTATAACACTGGCCATGACCTATAGAAGAGACGTCTATTTCATTTCCGTACGCATATCTATTTTTCGTGATTATACTTGTTGGTATGCTATAAGTTTAATTAAGGGCTATCCATATTTACTTACTTAGTTATCTCATAGTTTTTCCTTGTCGACCATTTCAGGAAGTGAAGTCAAGGATGGGGAAAAACGAGGGGAATGACAAGTTAGAATGCTAGCCATCTTGTAAATTGAACATAGATTTTATATATAAATCATGATTTTGTAAACGAGACTTTATTTTAAAATTTTATGATATTAGAGCAAATTTTAAAATTTTTATCTTTAGATTTTGTGGTATCAGAGTATGGTATGATAAACTTTCAAGCCTTATGCATTTATGGGATTCTCTCACAAGTATACGACGTCTGTTACGTCTCCGGATTTGGATTCTGGGGCGTGACAACAATTCCCTCCAATTAAAACAAATCCACTGTACAACTCCTTGTCTCATATACAAAACATAATATGTAATTCACGTGATGCAACTTTAAATATTGTAACTTTTCCCCTCCTTTTGCTATATCTCAACAATCTCAAAATTTCTCACTCAAATTCACAATTTAAAAAAATCAATTTCTCAACCCATGCATCAACCCATTCTCTTCATTCCAAATTCTTAAATATTTCAAGTTTTATGAGATAATTTACCTTAGATTTTAGCCTAGGATGGCAGATCCCTAGAACTATTTTCCCCTACTGGTGAAAGGAACAATGACGATCCTATTTCCTCCGAAAAGGATGAAAGAAAAAAAGAAACTGCCGACCCAAATCTGATTTGGGGTATTTTACAAAGAGGGAATATTGTCACTTAGTCCCTGAGCTTTAATTATAAGGTTTAGTCCCTAAGTTCCTCATCTCATTATAGTTTTAACCCCAAATTTAATCTTATCATATATACACCTGCTAAGAGCTTAACTAATTTATTTCAATCTTAAGTAGGAAATCCTTGGGTATTACAATATACAACAAATTTCAGTCATACTTTTCAACTGAAAACATACAACATATTTCCAAAAATATCCCCTTATATTATTTCAATTAGGTGTTTTGACCGAAATATGGATGGGACAAATTTGCCATGTATTTTATTTCAATCAAGGACATTGACCAAACAAATTCTATGCAAATTACCAAAAATACCCATTTTCATTAATTCGTTCATGTATCTACACTGAAATAGGTTAACCAAAAACCGATAATTCATGAATATTTTGTTTATTATACTTAACTGAAATATTTTATTAAAATAATATTTAAATATGTTGGTCAAATATTTTGACCAAATATAAGTGTTTTTTAATGATTTACTCAACCCTTTTTTTGTCAAGCACCTTAACAGAAGTAATTTTTAGGTTTAAATACCATTTTAATCCTTCAACTTTTCACTTTGGTATCAAAATTGTCCTTCAGCTTTAAAAAATATCAAAATTATCCTTAAACTTTCATTTTCGGTACCAAAATGGTCCTTCTGTTAGTTAAATGACAGGTGAAACGTTAAAATGCCAGCAAATCAATTTTTTTTTCTTAACTAATGACATGGAAAAAAAAACATAGTTGGCATTTATTTTGGTCAAGGTGAAATTCTCTCCAAAATTGTATTTCGTGCAAAGTATATTCAGACCAATAATTCGGTCAAGTATCTTGACTGAATTTCTTGTTTTTTGATCAAAATCCAATCTTGTTTGATCAATCTGGTTGACCGAATTGTAGCTTTTTTCTGGTAGTGGTTTTTTTTTTTTTTTTTAGAATCTTAATAAATTTAAGAAATTAATATATTTTTTTCATTCCATATCTTTAATAATTTTTTATTAAATGAACTATTTTATTAAAATAAGAAATAATGGTTTACTTCTTTTTTTTTTTTGAATTGCATAATAAGAAGTAACTTTTTCTCATTCCTTAACCCACCTTATTTGCATAACCCACCTTATTTGCATGCTATGTGATTCAAATTCAAAATCTCTCATTTCCACTTAAAGAAAATTACTATTGAACTACTTAAGTCATTCGTAAAGCAATGATCCTTCACTTTGATAATACTTAAATAATAAATCAATTAATTCCAATAATTTCAAAATCTTACTTTTTTTCATCTCAACATATCTGCTTTTTTACTTATTTGTTTAAGAAAAGTTGTCTTTCTTCATTCCAAAGAACTAAGCAATATGAAAGAGAAAGCATGTAATTCAATACTTAGGAACTAAAATCATTAACTAAATAAAGACAAAAAATTTTATAAACTAAGGTTTCTGGTAATTAAATTGCTTTCTAAAATAAATAACAAAAATTAAAAAAATAAAATCCTAAAACAATTCATAGAGTAAAGGGAGAAGATCTTTGCTTTTGTGTTTAATTAAAGCCTTGATTTTTAACTTATTCAACAGCAAGTAAATTCATATATTCAAATTATAATATTTTTATCTTTTACGAAACATTTAATTAAATCTTGATGTTATCTTCTTATTTAAAACTGTAATTATAGTAAAAATATTATAAATTATATTAGTTTTTTGTTGTTAAGTATGAAAGATTATAAAGATTTAAATAATAATAATTCAAAGTTTCAAATGACAAAAATATAATATCTAAAAACTTTAAAAGACAAAAAAATAATATATGTACTAATTTTAAAAATTTTTCTAAGTTAAGGGGGCAGCCACCCGCTTGCATCCCTCCCTCCGCCCCTTATTACAGATTTACATGTGAATC